TGATGATGATGATGATGATGATGATGATGATGATGATGATGATGATGTGTGCGTGTGTCTTTTTAACCTACATCATGTACAGTTATGGGTAGAATATGGTAGGACGTAGTAGGATTAACCACATTTTGTTGTCATGGATTTTTGTTGGGAGATTTGCAGGCTGCAGTGGGAGAACTGCTGGTTTGTGTAGAGAAAGTGTAGGGGCACCAAATCTTGAAGCGATACTCTTTCAAATGATGTCAAAGGCTCATCTCTGATATTATATAGTTTTTTTTGGCTAGATGTAGCTTGTTAGACATTGTCGAACCTACATCATCTACGGCTTGGTATAGGGTGCATCAAAGAAAAGGAGCAGCCCGACGAGTGCTTCTTGACAAACCCACATACACGTAGAGGACGTGCGTGTGCGAAAGAGCCTCAAGATTCAAGATTCTGGCAATGCCAATGCTTAATAAGTGAACGCAAAGAAATGAAGCATTGAGACCAGTATGAAATATCGCTGTCCCAGGTGCGCTGGGGTCATTCAAGCTGGTAGTAAGTGGATCCCGAAGGATGGCAGCATTTCACCGCATGAAAGAGATGGACAGGCTATGGACAGGTGATTAGAGGAATAGTTACATGGGTGTGGATCCAAACTCTTGGGACAAGTTCCACTAAAGTCTAAAGATATACAGTATATATAATTATATATATGTTCACAAGTTCACAAGGCAGATTTTGGGTGAAACGGCGCCAGATCTCTAAATACCGGACACGTTCTCCGCCAGCCGGATACCTGGAAACCTCCTCGGCGAGCATCTCAGCCGATGCACAGAGGATGGATCTTCCCCCGCGCCAAGCGGGAGAAGTTTGGCAATCACCCTAGGACTTTAACAAGATGTTATATAATTGATGTAATAGTCACGAATCGTGTATGTTATATATTTATAATGTGATATTATGTAATATATATATACATTAATAAATGGGAAGCGTTGCAAATGTAAAACATTGTAGTACCATTCAGGGGCTTTATCAATCAACCGTCAAGATAACACCCAGAAGCCTTTTTCAGAAGTCGCCCTCCTGGTCGGCATTCAGCACCCCGCGGCTCCCAACTTCCTAATCGCTGAGGTTCAACGCCGGAGGCAAACTGGACAGCTCGTCGCTGGGCTTTGTGGTGGAGTTGGCGACGCCAGGATGAGGGTTAGAGGAAGCCAAGGGAGCATAATAGTCAGGAGCCCAGCGTGTGTTGGCCATAGTATTACGGCATGATCACCATGTTAGACTCCCGCATTTTACCTAGCAAGAACATGCACGCACCGTCCACTTTGCTCAGCTGGGTGGAGTGCAACAGGAACCAGAAATTTGTAGGACTTGGTACACCCTTGACTAACATAGAACCTGAAAAGACATGAAAAGACCTGTCTTGTAAATCCTATTCCCATGGTCTATTATCAGCTTCTAAGTTCTATGTCAGTCTATGAGGGTGCCTTAAGTGTTCTCTTGTAAAGGAACATGCTCTTCCCATGCTCTATTATCAGGTTCTATGTCAGTCTGTGAGGGTGTGTTCATGTAAAGGAGCATGGTAGTTCCCATTGGGCTAGTATCCGGTTCCTATGTCCGTATGCTGAAATTGTATGGAACTGTCCAGTTTGTGTGTCTTGTGCAGGTGTTGTTTGTTCGACAATCAACTTCAGAGACAAGACTTAGCGGGAAAATTTGTGTCACGTGTGTGTCGGAGTGTAGCAGTAAAGGCAGAATGACATGACAAATTGCATGCAATGCTATTTTGCTTTGCGCGAATGTCATGCAGTGCTATTAAACTCTTGGATCGCCTGGATCTTCTCCCCAAGCCATTGTTTTCAGATCCGTTCTACATTATAGTCCCGTTTCCTTCTTGCGTTTTCTGTGTTAGTTAATATATGTGTTTTCTCTCTCTCTCTCTCTCTCGCTTTTTTACTGTAAATTTATCATATCGTATACAGTGGCGGGGGTTCTTTCCATGTCAACACTTGTCGCCCAACAAGGCCACACAACCCGGTGCCCGAGCTCACTGAGAGCTCCTCGTAGCTCGGACGGCGGAGAGAGGGAGCTCTCTCGATGGACCAATACTGTTTTCTGATGGAGTGGTAACACCATGGATGCAGTCATAGTAATATATTTATACATTTATGTACATTTATACTATACATATTGTTCCTTACAATGTAACGATGTTCTACTCCTTTTTGCTTGGAAACCTTCGGAAATGGACCAAACGCTGAGTACCGATTTTGAACTCAACATGAAAGGACATAGATCAATTACCACACATTACCACCGAACAGTTGAGGTTAGTAAAGATGGTGTGGTGCCAGTAATACGGCGGTTTGAGAAAGCAAGAGGTCTCCGCAACTTTTCCAATAGCGAGAATGATGTCGGCGCTGTGTACGCTAAAACCTCGTGGGGGGACGCCATGAGCAATCTCTTTCCAAACCTCTTGGACTTCCTCATTCCTGTACACGAGGAAGTCGGACATCCAAGTCGCTGGCCGAGAGATTTAAAAATTGCCTAGGGCTTCGACAAGGAAAAAGCGCGTGTGAATCGGCTACGTAAGTATTATATTGGCTTACAAAATGAAACTCATATCAGACTGTTTAGCCATGTAAACCAGGGCTTTGAGCCAACCAGGAAAGCCACATAAAGGCACCAAATGATTCTTGATGTTCATCCGTAGTGTCAATGGCTATGGGTCAACACCAGGAGACCTTTGTTGACATACCTCTTTCAGGTCAAGCTACATGGTGGACCAGGGGGGAACAGGTTTTGACCCATCCCCATAACTCCATTAGGCCGCCGGTGGATCCACTGCATCCTTGGAACACCAGGCCTGCGACACCCAACGGAGCGGCGCCTGCCGCTCCTGCGGCGGCGCCTGCCCCAGCAGTGGCGTAGAGGAGGCGAGAGGAACTCTCGGTCCCGTCCAGCGGGGGAGGCCCAGATGGGTTGTGTATGTATATATATATATACACAGTGGTTTGAGAGTAGATGGCACAAACCCCAAGATGTCTAACAACATGTCTTTTAGATGGGGATCGATATAAGCCCCCTTTGAGAGATCGTGCCATCTACTCTCAAACCACTATAGGCGGCTGATATTGTAATATATTTATATATAAGTCAAGTCGACGCTGTAAGAAGGTGCCGGTGTTTTGCGACCAGGGAAGGACTGCAAATAGAACTGTGGTGGATGGAACCAAGCTTCTCGCGGAGTTATCATTTATCCAAACTCAGCTGTGGTGTCATCGGGCGGCCAGTTTTGTTCCAGGATGTTCCAGGTAGGTGCAACCTACCAGGCCTTGGGGCGACGATCCGAGCTATCTTTCCAACAACAGGCTTCTTGTTCCTAGTAGCTTCTTGTTACTGATAGAAATGCCAGGAGCTACTAGTAGCGTCCTTGCTCCTAATAGCGATGCCCTTTGTTACTAGTAGCGTCCTTCCTCCCTTCCAAAAAAAACCAACCACGTGATCCGCCGGACTGCCGCAGGAACCGGAACGCGCTAATTGGTGCATGCTGATCCCGGACTGCCGCGGTCGCGTCACCGGTGTTGAACCGGTGCACCGGTGTGGTCGTCGCACCCGCCCCCGGTGCCCACCGGAAGACCACGAAAACCACCGGAATGGCACCGGAACAGCACCGGAGCGCCCGTCGTTCGGCTCAAATTCGGTGCGGTGACCTGTGGAAAGCATGTTTGAATTGAACTGCGACCCATGGGTGCATTAGGCGTTTACATTGGAGGGATGCCGCATCTGTATGTTGAGATACATCTATGGTTGCAGAAAGATGGACCACCCACCGTTTTGGATTCACTTGGGGGGTTTTGAACGCGTGCCAGTCGATCTGCAGTCAATGCAGGTGTTTGCAGTAGATTCTCTGGAAGCAAGATGTTCTTTGTGTCCCAAGGTTAACAACAAGGACAGTTATGTTTTGCTTGCTTGCTGTTCGATGTGGAATGACATGGGCGAAGTAGCTTCAAGATACTGTAGTGTTCAGCTCAGGGGCGAACTTGTTCCATCGCGTAACGTTGATGTTGTTGAGTTGTTTGCGCAAGTGTGCCTCCTGGTCAGCCGCGGGGCATTTGTGGAGCTCCTGCTTCATGCAAATAGAGATGCTGCATGCCACGAAGTGCACCCATCTGAGAAGAATTGTGTAGAAAACGAGGGAGCTCCAAAGAAGTTTACCCAGTGGTGCTGAGAAACTAGTGGAAAAGTGAAACACGGACACATCAATGTTCAACGAAGGAAGACGTTAGAATTGTCGTAATGGTGAATGTTCCACTTTTCCATGAAATCTTTGGGCCCGGGCATGCCAGACTTGCAATGCCAAGAGTAAGAGTACCAGTTGATGCAACAAGATAGCAAAAAAATGCTGCTTTTGTTTGATTCAGCAATGAGCAGCTCAAGCTAGTTGCATTTCTGCTCTCCATGCATAGATAAGGAACTTAGAGATCACCAAAAATGATTTCAACTGGGTAGTGGATGAACAACTATTGTTTCGTGGTGTTGATGTACTTGTCGTGGAAGATATGCGCTCGGATCATCTCGGATCCTGGGACGTCTCCAAAACTGTTGGAAGGACACCATCCGACGTCATTGCTTGACGTCCGCGGCTGGAAGGAACCGATGTCATGGTTGCATGCAGTTCTTGTAGCTTTGGAGTCAGACATTGGATGACATAGCGCATGGTTGCTATCAGGCATCATTTGCTTGGGGAGAAGTCTCTAACTAGTGTAATACTTAATAATGATCTATAATTCATCATCCACAGGCACTGTCAATGGGGTTTTGCTCTGTGAATGGACCCATCCTACAGAAACGCTTTGTTCTGTGACCCACCCCACCCGGACCGGACTCACGCTCCGACCGGACTCCCGCTCCCTCTCATTCGTCCATCGGACCGTCAGGCGCGGCTGCAGGCGTTGGCCTTATCGGTGCAAGGAGATCCCTTTGCTTGGCTGCAGCACCAGGACAATCCTCCGCGGACGCTTTTTTGTGCGCTTGGCGTTGGCGAGACCGCGCCCGCGGCGCGTGTGTTGGAGACAGTTCGCGCGATCCATTTAGTTGATTTGGGACAGACCATGTTGAAGGGGTAGAGAGGATATATTTGTCTGTTGAGTATGGCAGGTAAGAAGGCCAACGTGGATCACAGTTCACAAGGGCCTGAGTTCTTTTCTTGGCGTGCTGAAAAGCTCGTCATTCACCTAGATAAGAGCTAAGAGATACTTGAGCCAAGATTCCTCAAGGAATCAGGGACATGTTTTTTGTTGGTTTAGCAAAGTTGTTTATCTTTGATGCTTCTCGTGAACCACAAGATCGATGCGACGCTGGCCCTTAAGCCGCTTGCCTGACGACGGTTAGTGATCAGATTCCAAGTCTCTCAAAAAGGGCATCGGCATCGGTTCCTTCTGAGTATGAACAAGTAGCGACTAGGGGCTCCTGGCCTTACTACTAGGGACAAGAACGCTACTAGGGGCTCCTGGCCTTACTACTAGGAACAAAAACGCTACTAGGGGCTCCTGGCATCGCTACTAGAAACAAGAAGCTACTAGGGGCTCCTGGGCTTACTGCTAGGAACAAAAACGCTACTAGGGGCTCCTGGCCTTACTACTAGGCTACTAGGAACAAAAATGCTACTAGGCTCCTGGCCTTACTACTAGGAACAAAAACGCTACTAGGGGCTCCTGGCATCGCTACTAGGAGCAAGGACGCTACTAGGAACAAGTAGATAGAATTGTTGACATTTCATTGCCAGAGAGCCAGAGACACTCTCCGGCAGAGTACGCGGTTGCGATGGCTTCCTTCTGTCTGTGCGAACATGTCTCAAACCAGGAAGAGTATGACATTGGCAGCTAGTGGCATTGCTGGTTCTTGGTCTGCCCTCCTCCATGCACAACGTGAAACTGCTGTAATGGGGAGTTCAGAAAACTATTCAAGAGCTCACCATCCATGATCAACATGTATTTGTTTGTGTGTAGCAGCGCTTTATTGTGCAGTTGCTTGTCTTTGCATGTTCATGTCAGACAGGCACGGAACTGTGCCGCAATAAGCGGCAGGGCTCTTCCTATCCAAGCAATCATTCCTGTAGAAATATATATATATATGTGGAGACATCCGCTTGACAAACTGCAACGACCAACAGATCCACAGCGGTGCCGGCGAACCTGCCACCGATGCTTCCTTGGTTGGCCCCCGCTTTGCCGGTAGCGGTGCTCACAGCGCTGGTGGCCACCAATGTAGCGCAGAATGGGCGGGCTGAGCATCCAGCACCAGCGCCTCCGCTGTGAAGCTGGGCCTTTTGGGGACCCCCTCGTTTTTGAATTTGTCAAACGACTCAGGTGCTGGTTCACCTAAAGACCTGTAAGTGCTGTATTCTTTTTTGATGGGGTGATTTGAGACAGGTAGATAGACTGATAGACTCCCCTTTGCTCTCCTGGCTGCAGATGTTGTATGATGTATATACAGATTTTGTTATTGTTATTAATATATATATATATCATATAATATATAAGTTACTGTAATTTATCAATTATATCATTTAGACATGCACAAATCAAATATAGCAACTATTACCTGTCAGACAGGTGTTTGTCAAGTGTGCTTTGCCATGCTTTACCCCTTATGCATGCTGTCTTCGTTTCAAAATGTGAATCATTGCTTTCGACTGCTTGTCACATTTCAAATCCTTTGCACCGGGCCCTCCAGTGCTGCAGTAAACCGCGGCCGCTAGCTGTGCTTAGCCAATGAGACTGTCAAGTCTGAAAAACAAGTAATCTTTTTTGTGCAAGGTAGGTGTCCGCACATGATCTTCCGAAGCATGACTGGGCAGAGGGATAACGGTCATCCAATAACATCCAATAGCCTATGTTGCTAGACTCACTCAAACTATGAGGTGCTTTCCACCGCGGAAGATGTTTTGAAGCTGAAAAGCAAAGCTGACTTTGTCGCAGCCTGGCGTGCTGGCAGTATGCCGACCAAGTGCCTGGGCACTCCAAAGAGCACCAGTCGAGTTGTCCACAGAATAAAACCGTCCAACCTCCATATGAATCGTTTGTGCCATGCTCCAGTGTTCTGGTTGTGGTTGTTCTTGTTGTTGCTGTTGTTGGTGGTTGGTGGTTGGTGCTTGTTGGTTGGTGGTTGCTTGGTTGCTTGGTTGCTTGGTTGGTTGGTTGTAGCTCATGTTGTGCAATCCCCATCCATCGACCACATGGTTTGGTTGGAAGATCAAAGCATGGATGAGGAACGATGTCCATGTCCATACATTTGCACACACACAAAACTAGCATTGGCGTCCAATGATTCAAACTGACGCCCCGTGGGGAACGAAGAGATCATTAATTGATGTAGTGGTGTTTGGTTTGGAAGGTCAATCTTGAAGCAAGGGTGTTTGCCTCGGTTCGTTGTGAATTCTTTGATGCTTGGCATGGTATATAGTGCGTGTACATGACCTGTTCAAAATGCTTTAGCGAATGGATAGCGCTTGTTTAAACTCGTAGGCAAACATATAGCAAAAGGTGTTTGACCCTCACGCAGTATCCAAAACACAAGTGCATAGAAGTTCCACAGTGTGCCCCAGACCAAGAGTCGAGCGTTGGCCATGCGTGGGTGAGGGATCGATGGGCAGCGACATGGAATTCATGCAGGGATCCAGGAAGCCGATCTAATATAAAAGAATTGCAATATATCATAAGTATATTTATATATGTTCTTTTTCGATGACACTATGTATGTATGTATGTATGTATGTATGTATGTATGTATGTATGTATGTATGTATGTATGTATGTATGTATGTATGTA